GACTGGACAGACGGCAGTCGAAATGTCCTCGATTATTAATCACTCCTTTTTCCATTCTATAGATCATAATTGCTATGCTTTGCACTTAATCAGGGTATTAAAATGGAAACAATGAGATGCGTTCTGTTCGCAAAACAATATGATTTGATGCCTCAAATCTTTTTGAGTTTCACATAGCCCTGGTATGTAGACCGTCTAATGTTATCACGCTTAGAATTCAGCCTGCAGAGTTCTGACTGAGGACCCTCACCACTAAAAAATTTTTCTACTTAAGTTGAACAGCGATATTTGAAAGGAATTGAAAATTTTATCAGAATTTTTGGCACGAGAGAACAACTTTTGGACGTTCCTGAAAATCAAACAATTTTGTTAATGCAGCTTCCCTCTCTGGCGTCCGGGTTCGGAATTCCATGTGAACATGATGTCATTACTTAAATTATTCGCATATCAAATCAAGTCTTTAAGTAATTCTATCCAAGCGAAAATAATTCTTTCATTGAGATTCGAAGCAATTGATTTAATCATGACGTCAAGGGGTACATGTGCTACTTACAGCGGCAATTAACATGTATGGGTGAATAAAGCCGAATGAAATAAAATGAATTGCAAACTATGCTGAACGTGGTGTACACTCCCAAATTTACTCAGTTGCATAAGACATGTCATGTGAAACGAAAACGGGCTAAAAGATTTGCATATCATAAAAATGATATTTGAAGACATTTGAATATAGATCCAGGGTCAGTGGATCTAACCCACTGGCATTTCAGCATCAGTTTCAGCTGATATTATTGCATAAACACGTCTAACCCCTGGTTCTGTTCATTTGTTCCAGCTTCACCTGCGTATCAATAACGAATACACGATTACGAAAGTGATTGTTGTTTGCGGCTTAGTTTCTCTTGTTTCGTGTAGTCGACTGAAACTCGATAACAGTACATGAACACCATAATATAATTACATAAAAAATTACGCAATAACGACTTAGAGACAAACTGCTGCAAAAGCACCGTTTTCTCCTGCAGTCGATCGATGTTGCTTACGTACATTGGTCAGTTGATAAGTGAACGGGTTTAATTGCCTTATAATTGTTCTGCATACACAGCGTGTAAACAAGAAGCGAGTAAATAGCTATTTGTTCGAAATATCAATTCACTGTCATTCATAATCCGCTACTGTGTTCGAGTTGAGAAATGACAGTCTCCGGAGGTTTAGTACAGGTGTTCCGAGAAAACAGAAGTTCCACGTGCAGTTAGCAGTAATCTATCTAAAACGTTCTGTTGAAATGATCTATTAGTTGCGAAAGCATCGAATTACCATTTATCAGGAAGTAGTAATTCCCGACTTTGCGTTGACAGCTGAGCAAACAATCGAACGTCTGCAGGCATTCGTCATTGCATCCATCAACACTACAATGGGAACTATAGCACAAAGATTAGTTGCTTTCTTCTGCGTACGACAGCTACTCCCATAAATTTGGTAATTCGCAAAATACCTGTGCTATCAACGAGTCAGTGATTGGTTCACCTTTACGGACAACGAAGCCACGTACATTGGGTAAAAGTAAAAGTTTATTACTTGACCTAATTCTCTAAATTTTCAGAAGAAATAAAAATAAAATGTCTTCCATTATTTATTAAATTAATACCATTAAAAGTGATAAAATAAATCATTAGGCAAACAATGAACTGAGCCATGTCTGAAGACTTGTTAAATGACGCATATATTATCAAATGACGTATAAAAATTGAATGTGGAGTTCGACTCTTTGTGAACTTTCATAATTGCTAAGCGTGCTATTGATACAAATAAAATATTTTATGTTTACTTTTGATTTATGCCCTAAGAAACCGTTTCGAATTGAGAGAAGAGAGGCAACAATGGATTTTTCAGCATTGTTACCGTATCTGCATAAATCGAATGTACGCGAACTTCTGTACTCTAACTTTTGTTCAATAATATGGGGGAAAAGGCAAGGCGATAGTTCTTGCGCTGTCGGTCACAACTGCCTCGCAATAAGTTATTCATGCAATTGTAGATCATATTCTTTGTTGGGAAATCACTGAAATATTTAACTGCATGCTACAGATTCCCACCACTTCGCGATTATTACGGTCATGATTATCTGCATGATGAGTAACTGTAACCTGAACACGCTGTGGCGGGCGTTGCGAAACGCATTGGCAAGAAAAGTGAACAGTACACGCAGCAGTTCTTGCATTTTTGGCGTAAGAGTTGGCAGAGACAATCAGCAGCCTTATACAGTTTATGTCTGAAATTTAAAATAGCCATTTTTAAATTGAGTCTAGGCAAGTCAGATATTTTAAGCAACCAGCAATTTTGCAAGTCTAATGAAGATGATGATAAAAAGCAAAAGTGGGTCGAAAAGTCACTGAGGGAAAAGACTACACACTGTTTGTGCACAGACGCAGAATAATGAATATGAGTACCTCTAGACGGTCGAAATTACTATATATCACATACGATTACACAGTCAGAATACGACCTTCAGGATACAATTGAATTACAATTGTTATATCTTCTCTAATAAAGGAAAGCATCACAATTGAAAAAAAACAATTAGACATTTGACATTTCGATTTTACTGTGGAATAAACAGAAAAAAATGTATAATTGTGTCAAGTTAACTCTTGTTTCAGTGCCAATAACGTCATACAGGAACTGGTTTAATGGAGTTGTAGGTGTGAATAAGACACTCTCTATTTTATTCGAAGTTAACAGCGGTGGCAAACAGTTTTGGCGCAAGGCCAAAGTTTCGGCAAATATTACCAGCCCTTGTCAATAGCGAACAATTATTGTGATATACGTAGATACTGTAGCATCAGATGGTCAAGATGTATCTAGAATTGTAAATAAAAACTTCTGATCCGCATAAAACTTCGTATAAAATAATCTTCTATTTATGAATCAACCAGCTTTGTCAAGTATTTATGCAAGTAAAGGCCATGTTTGTTTGTGTTTATTGCAATCATTACCTTGAGCTGTTTGCATAAGCACAACATCTTAGTGATGTGATTTCAACTGTTATCGCAGGTTTCGTTTACCGCACCCCAGCAGGACATATTCTTCTCCGCTTTTTTTCTACACTTACTTTGTTCCTTCATGTTCCATGTTTGTCTCTGGTCACTGTATGCAGTGTTTCAGATCACATTCAAGGAACTCATGCGCTAGGTTAAATGATGCATGTTCATCCAGCTTGTCTAACACTGTCAATCTCAGTTGCTTAATCTGCACATGCATCAAAATCACTTTTTTGAAGGGCAGATAATTATTTTTTACGTAGCTCTGTTATCCAGTTATCATTTGTCGTCTAATTGAAAGCTGCTGTACGCAGTTCGTTCTTGCTTGAAACAACAGCTTCAGTGTCGTAAAACAACACTTGCTTAACAGAGGCAAGGTAAAACAGAGTTCCGTGGATAGAGTAATTCGTTTTTCACTAGAATAATGCACATGTTTTCAGAATTCGATTCTTCTGTTTAACTGTCTCTATAGGGTTATCATTGGACATGATTTAGCCGAAGTATTACAGCGGGTAAATTTCCTACTGGGGTTCACTTCCTTGTTGCATTTGCTGATCAGCTGTGAAAAATGCGTTTCTTATACTGTTTGAATTCCAGGCGTTAAAAAAGACACTGCATTTAAGAATTTCATTGCATACGGAAGCCCTCAGGTGAGAGAACCTCCTTCCCATAACCCTGATTAGGACAATACTACGAAGGCACTTCAGGAAAGCATGATATTATGAGCTACCTTTTCTCTAGTAAACGAGACCGTTGTTTTTGACTAATTCAGTCGTATATTCCATTGCTGCCACGTCTATCGAAAAAATATACCACTGTTAAACCAAAAAGTCATTTTTTGTCTTTTGTGCCGTTAACAATGGAACCAAGGTATCACTGTCTCCAGTCATTTACAGCACGGTATTGGCACGAGTGTAGGAAATTATTCTTATTTTTCTATTTTATATACTTGAAGCAATCTAGAATTTTTGTTTTATTTGGTTGTTAGGAGCAACCTTTCTCGTAGAATCATTGCAATGGTAAAATTATTTTGACAAAAATAGGATCATCAATAATGCTAATCGAGGAGCACCGTACTTCGCTTCGAAAGGTTTATGTAATTAAATAAATTTTGCCAGACTTGGAAATATTCCCCGCATCTGAAAGATCGTTACTTGCAATATTCTTTTTAAATTCGTTGCTGTTAAAAAATAGAAATTCTTATCACAACCTAACTGTTAGTCTTCAGTGCAGATACGAATTATCGGAGCATTGACTTAAACCAAATTTTTCGTACCGATGATCGATCATTCGTAACGCCATTAGCACTGTGACCAGAAGGCTGATGCTAAATGAAATGAACGAGACTCGCATATAACCGCAGGTTATGGTTCTGATGAATCGATTAGCTGTTTC